GGCATATCACACATCCTCCTCCTCGTTCAGCTTATCGTGGCACTGTTGTCACATGCATCGTCCCCTGCCCATCATGATGTAGCTCTCACAGCCGGAGCATTCATCTCAGGATGGGTATACATTAGATACTACATGTAGTAGTGATAATGATAACCCCTTGCATGGCCTCCTCTCTTAACAATCTCCAATGATGATGTAGGTATTTCTACTTTGCTCAGCAGCACGGTGATCATTCCAATGAGTTCCGTTTTGCTATGATGTTCCCAAAGGTTATGAGGTAGGACAGTAACAATAACAACAACAGACTTGGGGGCCCACCTTCGTGATCCTCTACAGGCCATTCCTCGATCGAATATGTGGTGGCCTCTACGCCATCACTTCCCGAACGTGTGGTAATTTCAACCTTCGACACGGGCGTAGCAGTTCTGAGATTACTCCTTCGGAAACGTAGTAGTTGGGACACATGTAACAGTTCATTGTGAATGTTTCGACTCTCTTTCGTGTAGTGGATAGAGTTATTGATTTGAATGCCTTTGGTTTCGGGTTCGACCCTCGGGTCCAGTACATTCTTCAGGCTCTACGATCCCTCTACTACTGCCCGAGCACAGGCTGAAAGTAGAGCTATAGTCGATGGCGCTACTGGTAGGGACAGAATACTCCATGTTACGATACCCTATCTCGTGTTATCCTATCTTGTTCAGACCAAGCTGCCTCGATGGTATCCAGTGCTAAGAGGGAGTTGGAGGGTCGAAGTGATACTTATACTACTACTCTCTTAACACTAATCATGCAGGTAAGCGAGCTCTAAAGTTCCTCGACGATAACCTGACCTCTTTGTCGACACGAGATGAGCAGCAGCGTCGTCGTCGAGATGATGTAACCAATAGAGGGAGGGAAGTGGTGAGTTCCGTACCCCTCTCCATCCAATGCTACTACTACTACCACTCACCAGGTTGAACACGAATTAGAGAGTGTTGAAGCCGGGGAAGCGTCGTCCCTATAAGCTTACATCACTACAATTTATTGTATCATCATCGTCCTTTGTTTCTCAATAACACAGTCTCATTTGGTTCATAGGCTATCTACGAAAGTAGTTGCGACATAGTTATATCAACAAACGCTCGTTTGGCATTAATGATTCGCAAATCGATTGATTGTTTTATACATTCTCAAACACCAGTGTGAGACACTAGGCAATTGATTGACTGCCACTGCTGGGGGCAACATGAGAATTCTGAAGAAAGTTTGGGGAGAAGGTTGGTTCCTGTAAACTCATTCGTGCATAAGGATATAATGAGCGACGAAACTACCGAGCTCAGTTGAGGAAGGCGAATATCCATTCCGACATTGCCTGGCATAACTGCGGAATGTTCATAATCAGATGATATCCACTTCTCTGATACCCCATCCTTCACACCATCGGATATATCAGCGATATCTTTCTCGAGGCTCTATGGGGAATACTTCCCTCCTATCATGAGACACCGAATTCGTACATTAGTCCCGATCCTATCAATTCCAGTTCTTGACAGCTAGAGGCCTTCGAGTCACTGAGATAACTAGGCTGTATTCTGGTAGAGTTTGTCATGGTTGGAAAAGTCTTGAGTATATCTTGAATATCAGAGGTTGTGGAAAGATGAAGAGGATGATTGACAGTAGGGGTCGAGTGAAACCCATCTCGATCGAACTCAATAATGATGCTCATCGCATGAAAAAATTACGTAGACGGGCATAGGATACCACTAACGGCACTGCAACACCTGTCATCCGAGACTACCGGGGTAATTGACGAAAACAACACAATGGATCGGCTGCACGCAAATGTATAAAAAACCAAGCGACTGGTACCACGACGAAGAAGATACACTTTACTCCATTTGATGAAGTCCCCAAGAGAAGGAGAGATGATGCTCCTATTAAGGAGGGCTTCTCAAGGGACAACAGATATAACTTCGGAATCACCGGAGTCATATGAATCAAATGTGCAGTAGATTAACGCAGCGTTAGCATTGAATACGTCGCGCTTGGAGGTAGAGCATCTGAATGGGGATGAGTACGAAACCCATATAGGAGACGTTAGGCTTACCATAGGAGTGGGGTGATGATGATCTTCGACAATGGTGCACTACTCATCAAGCCATCTATGGCTCGATGAGTTAGTAGGGGGAACGTCGCTGTCTTTATATGGCTTAACAGTGAAGAGCAGCTGCCTTAACTACTCAGCCAACTGGTAGTTAGCAGCAGCCTGGGCCTTCTCTTGACGACTCAGCTTCTTCTTGTAGGAGTAGCAACCAATGAACGTTAACGCGTAACTAACAGGATCACATCCTCGACCTCTTTAGGAAAGGTAGACAACTTACAGTGCCGCGGCAATCCAACATCCAACGGCAGCAGAGGGCTTCTTGGAGTCGGCTACCTCAATCAAGCGAGAACCCGAACCGCACAGAAGGGCGAAGTAGACGAGGACTGGTACGGCAACTGAAAGGAGGCAGTTATCGATTGAGATAATGTAGGGCATCCTACCAGCGGAAAGGATGGAGCAGAAGCTAGCGCAACCCGACTTGCAGGACATAACAACTGGTTGAAGATAAAACTAATGATAACAAGGTACCGACAATGCTCGAACAATTTGCCCGACTAAGGGGGAACGCCGTGAGGTGGCATATTCCAAGTTCGATCCAATAGCCACAGACTCTACTGCTGTTTCCCAGGACGGGACCGCGGTACGACACAGCCAAACTAAAGCTCATTTCGGCGCAATATCGGAAAGCAGAGGTTAATCTTAAAGTAGGGTGAATAAGATACAAAAAAGATCCATACCATCTACTCCAACAAAACAGTTCCGTAGTTTTGATCAAAGGATGTATGAGCAACGTCCTTACGGTGGCAGGAAAAATCCAAGTCCCACATTCCAAAGACCTTACCTTCAAACCTCATTTGCTAAAAAAGCTGCGTTTCAAGCGACGTCGATCGCGCGCGCCCTGTCTATCGATTTACCCCGAAAGATTTGCGAAAGCCTGAAGGGCATACGCAGGGAGCCTCCTGATGATTTTGACGGACTTAGCGTTGAGGTACGGACTTGACCGTCAGGAGGGGATAACCATTAATCAGCCTTACAAGACATCGCTAAACACGAAGGCCGCCGAGATCAGCATTGATTTGGGTTCCAATGGATCCTCGTAGCCTATGCGTCATCGATGATATATCAGTCGCCGAGAGGAGACGTATCCTTGGTGATGCTATGAAGCTGAAGGAAGTCTTCTCTGATCCTGTAGATGTCCGTAGAACTGGAGTTCAGGTAGGTTAATGGGAAAGATACGCTTAGACATATCCTTCGCTGTGCGTGCTCTACTCAGGTTGACGACCCCCAATCCTGTGTGTATTTGATTTTCATGGAAAACTCGACTAGAACGAAAGAATCTTTTTTGAACGCCGCCAAGTTCCACGATGTAAAAGTTAACATTTTCGACTGCCAAACCAGCAGCTTCCTAAAGTCGGAGACCATCACTGATACGATCAAGATGCTTATTGGCTACTCCCCGGCAGGCCGGACGATCTTCGTGATCCGATCTAAGTTGGAGGGCGTCTGTCGATGGCTCGAGTTCGCCATGACCAAGTACGCCAGACGACACGGTATCAAAACACCCGTATTCATCAACGCTGGTGATGGATCCCATGAGCATCCAACACAGGAGCTCTTAGACCAGTTTACCTTCGTGGAGTGCATGAAGAGGCTCAAGGACGCCGCCTGTGTGGGGGATTCCTCCCCAGTGGGTCTTGTATCCTCCGACTTCGATACGATTCACATCGCTCTCATTGGAGATCTCAAGAACGGCCGGACCGTCCACTCTAAAGTCAATGGCCTCCGAGTATTTGATCATGTTCGGGTCGATCTGATAGCGCCAGAAGAGCTCGCTATGCCTTCGAGCTATACGGAAAGGATGAGGTCTCTCGGGTATGAAGTCAGACAGTTTCCCTCTTTGGAGGAGTACCTCGGCCAGGATAATGTTGCCCGAATTTGGTATTTCACTCGGCTTCAGCTCGAACGAATGACAGAGCAACAACAGGAAAGGTCTTCCATTTTGCGCCGCGCGGTTAGCTTCGATCCGACTACTATGATGGGGAGGCTTCCCGAGAGCTGTAAGTTTTTCCACCCCCTCCCCCGGGACTCCAGATTCCCCACTATTCCCTTTGAGATTGACGACACCGACCTCAACGGCTGGGATGAACAGAGCCGCAATGGATACTTTCTGCGTATAATCCTTCTACGTGGTATAGGCTACGGGGAGGGTTTGAAGGTTGAGGTCGACTTCAACGTAGGTGGGAGATGTGAGAATTCACGATGTGTTTCGAATGAAGTGAATGGACAGAGGGAGGTTATAGCCGCTACAGTGATGGACGAGGCTACTGGCAGGAGATGTTGTTGGTACTGTGACGAACTCATCTAAGGATTATTGTTTCAAGCAGTGAGCAGTTATTGTGTTGGAGTTTATACTTATTACTATTGGATAATCCAAGTCTCGACGGGCTCATGCCTCACGGCACAATATAGGGGAATTGCCATAGACGAGCTAATACTTGCCAACCTCTGGTCCATATATGAGGATCTCGGCACCACTTTCACCAATTCAAACATCCCATCAGTGGACGTTTTGTTGAAAATCCTATTCGAGAATGCTTCTGCCTTTGCGCTGCCTACTACATTGCCTCTATTGTCTTTATCGTCGCAGTATGCTGTGTCGTATTATACTTTTCTCGCCTGACTTTTCGCATGCTATACACCGGAGGTCATAGCATAGTCCAATTAGCTCAGTAACCGAGCCTGAGTTCGAGTTGGGCGATAACCAGTCTCAACGAATGGCGCGGACACCTCCGAGGAGTGTCATCACTCGTAGACAGGCCCTCACGGTAGTGTGTCGAGCTCTCACCTTGGATACTGTACGGGATTGTCTGCTACCACTGCCATATAGCTGCCATGGACGGGAATGGGCTCGAGGTCCGCTCCCATTTCGGCCGATCGAACGAATGAAGACGTCCACCGATTAGTTGCTCTTGTTTTCGTTGAAGTCCAGGGCTTTAGTCGGAGATCATACACCCGATGGTGCTACCTGGGATGTGTCCTGAGGACATTGTCCTCTCTGTTGCTGCCGTCGTAGGGGAAATTCCATCAGTGCTCTGTCCGGAGGAGTGTGTCCCAACTCATCAATAGGAGCGATGTACACCATCATACGGGCATTCCGCTGCAGCTCTCTGTGGTATGGATTGCCGAGTACGTGGCAGGCAGGCTGGTAATGGCCGAGACAGTAACCATTGTATGCGAAAACAACACAGCATTTTATCGCAAGATTCGATTATAAGTCGCGAGGCGCACGTAATATGCTTGTGGACTGCGGTGAAGATGTCTCTGTTCCTCGAGTCTCTTCCTCCGACAATCGACAGTTTCAGGCTGCTAGCGTAGAGCTCAAATTAAAGAGATCCCTCTAACAGACATCTTACGTGTTGCCCGACAATCATGACAACTCTTGGTGTGTGACAGGAGGAGGGTTAACGCCCAACATGGTCTAGCCTCTTCTTGGCATCGTAACGATGATCGGACGATCCGAAGAATTTGTCTACTGGAGGACCGATTAATTTAATCACTCAACTTGCAATATAACCGCTCAGCAATACCCACACCCCAGTCCCATAGGGGACGGATCATCGAAGTCGAGTACATAACTGTACTGACTACACCTCCATTAGGGTGGGGTATACATCTCCTCATCACGGTTTAGGGTTTTGTCAAGAGTACTCTTGTGAACGGAAGGAAATCACTACATAAGTGATCCTGTTCGAGTACAGTCGACGAATACTATAGGCTCGGGAACACTCCCTCGTTGGCGTGATCTCTGGGAGGAGCGGTACGAGAGGCCATCACAAAAATATGTCCCTGTCTATATTTTCTGCAGATCGCCGACTAACTTTGGTTGCACTTTCATTCTCATCTCCGGCATTCGGACAAGCAAGTTGATTGATTATCGTACAAATCCTCGCTGTCACCCACCACATCCACTCCAACTCCCTCGGATGAGAGCCAGGTTAGTTGAGAGACACTTAGAACGCAACAACAAATGCTGACACGAGACATTGAAAAATTATAGGCACAACGAGTTGAAATAATCAGCGGCCTTTCAGCCGTCTTTCCTCTTCACTCAGGCTCTCCCAGAATCCTTCCTGTTCCCCGACAGACTGCTGAATGGCCGCTGCCCACATTTTGCCGGCTCTGTGACCTTCAACGGAGCCTGCCATTTTCATATATTTGTTGATATCAAACTTCCCTCGACAACCATTATAGCTCATATATCGAATAACCCCATATACATTCCGTTCGCCGAATGGGCGATCATGACGGCCACCAATGCACCAAGCGATACCCACATATCCATTGGGGTCTCGACCATCCAACTCGTATTTGTCATTGAGGTATATTGAGAATTCGAGAGCTTCCTCTGGGCTTTTCGTCCACTCGAGAATCTTCTTACACCAATACATACGCATATAACCATGTATCTTACCCGTCTCAACCATTTGGCGTTGAGTAGCATTCCACAGTCTGTCATGTGTGTCGGCGTTCTCCAATTGTTCCAGTGAGTAAAGATACTCCCTGTCATCCTTAGCATGCTCACGAAGAGTGTGCTGTCCCCAATCTGGGAATCCTTCAAACTTATCGTAGTTGTCGTTGTAGTAGCAGAAGTTGTCGGCGAGCTCTCTCCGGATCATACACTGCTCAATAAACTCGTCGCGATCCTCCTCGTTGATGTCCGTACTGTTGTAAGCATCATAGATGACCCTCTGCGGACTCACAAAGCCGTAGTGGAAGTATGGACTTAAATCAGACTGGATAGGATTAGTCGGATTGTTCCGCTGGGTAGAGTAATTGGGCAGGTTTTTAACATACCCCAGCGCGAGTTGAAGACCAGCATCCTCCCCAGGTGTTAGCCAGTCGATGGGCTCCACTGCTTTGTCGAGCTTCCCGACAATCTCGTCATTCGTCAACAATGCCTCAATCTCTGATGTCGTAACTGTGTGGAAGTGAACATCATCACTAATAGTATAAGCATGTCTCTTCAGCCTCGGATACTTCGTGCAGAACTCATCAAAATGATGCCATAATTTCGGCCTTATTGTCACAGCAGCACGTTCCATCTTATCCGAAGTGACCCAACAGGGAACAACATTGTGAGCATCAACTAGCTCGAAACGAATGTCAAGGCGCTTGGCATGCTTCGTGAAGGCGGCAACCCACTCCTTGTTCAAACGGAGAGGAGTGAAGTCAGTAACAACGTATTTGCAACCGACTCTTTCAGTGATGTCAGCGAGGAGGGCCGGGAACTTGGGAGAAGTTTCGATCGCAAAAGGGATGTTGAGTTGACTCAAATTTGCAGCTACGACCTTCAAACCACCGACTTTGAAGGCGTGCTGTCGCAAGCCTCCGCCAAGATAACCAACTGCCAGGTTGTAAACAACTAAGAGAGGCCGTTTACTCCGAAGGGCCACATTCTGTGCATGGATTAGCGCCCAATTGTCACGAGAACGGATCTCTCGACTCATCCAATAGATAACTGGTCCAGGAGATGTGAGACCTGTTGCGGGTTGATTGAGTACTCTGATGCGATCCGGACTCACAGACGACTGAGGCATAACGGAATAATCTCAAGAGAAAGTAGACTGCAAATCATCCGAATGCATAGATTCGCTATTTACTCTGTCACCGGATCACGTTTCCCAAGAGCTCTCTCTCAACAACCTACATGCAAACCCTCGCTGCTAGTCTAACATGAGACAGCGCACACAATGTCACAATTGTATCTTCTCACCCGAGTTACAAAAGAACGTACAACGAATGATGTGATCGGAGCAGTTCTTCGTAGTGAAGCTTCTTGGTCGACCTTCCACCATCCCAACCATCATCCGACTTATCCATCAACAGTACCATGGAAGCATTCTTCCCGTACTTCCTCATTTCATCATCTCAGGAGATACCAACACAACCCAACAACTATGTAGACGTCACTGTCACAAGATGATGAAGATGTTGTTCAACACCAAGTGCCGTTCCGCGATATAAAGTTAACCACGAGTAAATCCCATGGGTAATGCAGTAACTTCATCCTGAACAACTGGACATTGTTCAGATTGCTGGACCTGTTCTGGGCCACACAGCTGTCTACCAGTTCGAGTATGTTGAAACCCGAACTGCCTTGAATCAAGCCTTCCCGCAGTAGTTAATGAGCAACCCACTTGATGATATGTCCTCGACTATCTGATGGCATCACAAGAGCTCTGCAAGACGAGTCTCCCTCAACGTTGAATCTAATACTGCAATGCGGTGACCCGCGCGTGATCGAGATACTTGTAATGGAGATGCCGCATCCCAACTCGAAGCTTTTTTCGTTCTCTGTCTCGTAAGCCGTCGATCGGGTCAGCTGTACTGATGACAAAGAACGTTCGATGCTTGTAAACGTTCGCGTCAAATCGACTCAGTCGATTGGGACCTCCTTCATACATCGCACTATAAACGATCTAATAAGCTCAAAGTTCCGGATTCCACATCTCGAACAGAGATCGACGAATATGGTCTACCGATAGGCAAGCGGCCTTCGAGTGCTGCCTCAAATCTGTTAGCCATGTCCCATTACCATACGGCCATTCAATCACTCCCGTCAACCATGTACAAACCCTCATGCTCATGTCGCAGGAGTAAGTGTTATGTCCCATGGCTTACGTGTAAGGCTTGGTGGGACGTGGTGATGATCGCGAGCTTCTTGTCATTCTATGTCCGAAACTTCTGTGTCTTGCAATGAATCGCTCTCCGAAAGCTAGATAGTGTACAGGACAGAGAAGGAATGGGTTCACAAGAAGGGCCTCGGGAATGGAGCGGTCTGAACGCCAACCAGCAGTGGCAGTTTCTCGAACGGCGAGGCCGAAATTCAAAGTATAACCACAGCCGCTGGTGGTCGAGATATCTCGAAATTCATACTGCGAAGCTCCACGAAGATGAGCTGTTATTGGGGACATATCTCTGTGACGACCTTTCATACCGCTCCTTCTAGAGATCACGCCAACGAGGGGGCGTTCCCGAGCCTACTGTACTCGTCGACTGTACTCGAACAGGATCACTTATGTAGTGATTTCCTTTCGTTCACAAGAGTACTCTTGACAAAACCCTAAACCGTGATGAGGAGATGTATACCCCACCCTAATGGAGGTGTAGTCAGTACAGTCATGTACTCGACTTCGATGATCCATCCCGTATGGGATTGGGGTGTGGGTATTGCTGAGCGGTTAACTGAAATGGAATTCAACATTGTTCGTTAATTTTCGCATGTAAATTACATTTTTTTCACGTATGCGGTCAAAAGAATATATTCCGGAAAGTCTCACGTACTGTTTATCGATACGCAACATATCTTAAATATT